GGGATGGTGAGGCAGAGGAGGGATGGTGAGGCAGAAGAGGGATGGTGAGGCCGAGGAGGGATGGTAATGCAAGGGATTGCTCTCTATGCAGAGGATACGAGGTGATGCAGAAGGTGGATGGTGATGCAAGGGATGGTTGATGATGCAGAGGATGGATGGTGATGCTGAAGGTGGGAGCCAGAGGGCGGATGGTGAACAAAGTTTTCAATTATGTTATTCGAAGCTGTGGTCCGTACACGGCCCTCTTTCTGATATCTTCCGCAGTAACACCTGCTCTAATATTCACATCATAATAATCACACCATTTATGTAGATCTGCACGGAATGTGTCGGTGTGACAGAAGTACTGCTGTCAGCTGTGGACCCCGTTCACACTCGGTGCAGCGCGGTAACTGGAAAGGGTCCTACAAACCAGGATCAGAGGGATGGAGGAGCTGAACTACAAGGATAGTTTGCAGCGTCTGGGTCTGTATTCACTGCGTAGGAGACGGTAGAGGTATGTCATTCTGTACAAACGGAAAAAATAACCGGAATGGCACCAAATTTTGAAAGCGAGACCTTACGAATTGAGACATGCCATAACGAGAGAAGATAGACTGCGCAGGACTCTACGTAACAGATCTGCTACGGTCTGCCAAGGTTGTTCAACGTCTCGCCAAAGGATCTAAGAGAGGGGGAGTTCACCCTGGAGACTTTCAAGAGACTGGACGTGTTACTAGGCACAATCCTTGATCGACCTCTCCTGCACCACTACCGCGGTGAGAAGCAAGCAACAGCATCGTTCATCAGCTGGACCAACTGAGGACATTAACTGATCCAACTGAGGGCAACCGCTGTCCCAACTGAGGGTATAGCTGATCCAACTGAAGGCAACCGCTGCCCCAACTGAGGGTATTAGCTGACCCAACTGAGGGTATTAGCTGATCCAACTGAAGGCAACCGCTGCCCCAACTGAGGGTATTAGCTGATCCAACTGAGGGCAACCGCTGTCCCAACTGAGTGCATTAGCTGATCCAACTGAGGGCAACCGCTGCCCCAACTGAGGGCATTAGCTGATCCAACTGAGGGCAACCGCTGCCCCAACTGAGGGCATTAGCTGATCCAACTGAGGGCATCAGCTGCCCCAACTGAGGGTATCAGCTGTCCCAACTGAGGGCATCAGCCCCCAACTGAGGGCATTAGCTACTCCAAATGCGGGCATCAGCTGCTCCAACTGAGGGCAACCGCTGTCCAACCGAGGGCACATGCCCAGTAGTCTGGAACTAGCCTCTTTTCCCTCGGCGGAGAGGATGACTTGCCTGCCGGGGCTGAAGGCGGAGGAATACCACGGCGGCTCCCCAACATGGCCTGGGACTGCAACTTCTGAAACGCATACTAAGGATACCAGAGCGTCATAAGTGCGGAATGTGTCGGTGTGTCAGAAGTGTCGACACAAAGACCTTTGGCGCCTGGCAACACAATGTGGCCACAAGTCGAGGTCACTTCACACTATTGTCACCATTGTGTCCCTAACGCGAACTGCCGCCGCAATTACAGCGTCTTCCGTGCGAACGTCTTGGGGAGGGGAGGGGAGGGTGGGGCAGACTTTCCCTGGCCTGGGTCATTGGTATATGTATTGTGTTGTTGCTGTGTTATTGATATGTGTTGTTGTGTTGTTGTTGTTGTTGTGTTGTTGCTGTGTTATTGATATGTGTTATTGATATGTGTTATTGTGTTGTTTCTGTGTTATTGATATGTGTTATTGTGTTGTTGCTGTGTTATTGATATGTGTTATTGTGTTGTTTCTGTGATATTGACTTGCGTTATTTATATGTATTATGAGTTGTATTATTGTGTCATTGATATGTGTTATTTACATGCGTTATTAATTGATGTTATTGAGTTGTTGCTGTGTTAATGACAAGTGTCAATAGCAATACCAATTGGTACTACACTCCTGTGTTATTTGAATGTTATTAAAGTGTGTAACTTGAAGTTGGAATTTAATCATTGTTATTGCACTGTTATTGTATTGTTGTTGATCTATTGTTGTTCTGCGCGTTATTGTGGTGCTGTACGTTATTGATGTTCTGTTTCGACGGCTGTGTTATTGACGTGTACCGGCCTGTGTAGTTTCATACGTGGCATTCATGTGTGTTATGCTGCGGGCGTCGCTTATTGAAACATGCAAGTCAGGCTCTACCTTCGCGGCTAGTTAATGCTGATGGCTATAGATATATAGGAATATATATGAATATATAATATATATCTATACATATTCATTAGTGTTTAGTAGTATTCAGGAATATATATGAATATATAATATATAAATTTGCATATTCATCAGTGTTTAGTGAAATTGAGGAAAATAAATGAATATATATTATAAAATTGTGCACATTCAGCAGGTTTTAGTAATATTTAGGAATATATATTCTATATTATACATATTCATCAGTGTTTAGTTATATTTAGGAATAGATATTTTATAATTATACATATTCATTGGTGTTTATGATATTTAGGAATATATATGAATAGATATTATATACAGTATTTGTACATATTCATCAGTGTATAGTAATATTTCGGAATGTATATAAATATTTAATCTGTACCTATACATATTCATCAATGTTTAAAAATATTTCGGAATATTTTGGAAAATTGCGCACGACTTAGCAATATATGAAAATATTTGGCCATATAGTATAGAAAAAGTTACAATACTGTCTCGATTGTGTAGATGATAATCAAAGAAAGATTTTAGATAAATATTAGAGTAAAGTAAAGTGAAATTTTTGAATCCACTTATTTCGAGAAAACAGTAAGTAAAAATAATAAAACTGTCATAGTATTTCGTCAAGTGGATAGATTTATATACAAAATAAGTAGCCTGGAATGCTATAAGCGACCTGCAGTGACCTGCAGAGCACCTGCCAAGACGTGGCCTGCAGTGACCTGCAGAGCACCTGCCAAGACGTGGCCTGCACTGACCTGCAGAGCACCTGCCAAGATGTTACCTGTAGTGACCTGCAGAGCACCTGCCAAGACGTTACAACAGTGACCTGCAGAGCACCTGTGACGCCTGCCGCAGCATGACCTGCAGTGACCTGTAAAGCATCTGCCGCGGCGTGACCTGCAGTGACCTGCAGAGCACCTGTCACGCCTGCCACTGAGGGCGGACGTGACGAGAGCCGCGCGTTGAGAGGTCAGAGGTCAGGGGCGGGGTGAGGGGGTGTGGGTGAGGGGGTGTGGGGGGAGGGGAGAAACATCGCTACTGCGGACACTTTATATCAGAAGTTGATATGTGCCCACTGGCTTCATTTTAGTAATAAAAATTAGTGAGTGTCTTGCTTCTTTTATTTATTCTTGTACCCACGCAAGACAATTCAAATTTTCAATAAATTTGAAAAATTAAAATAATTGAACGGAAATTATAAAAGAGGTTATAATTTTTTCCAGTTCTAGAACGACCAGCATCCTAATAACTTTTCGCTACGTTGGACAAATTACAGCAGCAAATTCCTTCAGCAGGTACGCAGTTTTGGAAGAACGGTTATCGTTGGCTTACAAGTCGGAATAGAAATTTGCCAGCGCTGCACCTTCGATGATTCAGAACCCATAAATCACCTTTGAATCATCGATGGACATAAGGTGCAGTAACCAACCACTTGATTTATTTGTGTATTTTCATCGATCATTGGAAGACGTGGCCATCCACCGTTGTAACATCACTGATGCAATGAGTAAACCTATAACAACCGGTGCACCACCCTTAATTTTTGGTTGAAAAGGAGGAAGGGGGTGAAGGGTAATTCAAAGTGGCGGAGAAAGGTGTGAAGGGAATTACAGAGAAATTCAGAAGAGTACAGAGGAGTAATTGGACTGTAGAGGAGGAAAGGGGTTGGCAGGAAGAGGCTGAAGGCTGCAGCAACCGTTGCAGTTCACATCATCTTCAGAATAACGGCGGGCCAAACGATGCTCTGTTTGCCGGAGTTTCCGGTGACATGGAACGATAAAACTGAAGGAACTCATGGATGGCCGCTGGACGGGTGGCCACCGAAGATCCACCGATGATCTCGTCTGATTGGCTATGGCCACCGAATATCCACCGAAGATCCCGGCCGCTTGGGAGGTGGCCACCAAAGATCCACCGAAGATCCCGGCCGCTTGGGAGGTGGCCACCGAAGATCCACTGAAGATCTCGGCTGATTGGTTATAATGCTCAGTTTCGTATTCTAAAAAATATTTGTAATTGACGTAAGTTCTGCAATTTTTCAAGTATATGAGAGATGGTCAAGTTTAAGGTAATGCTTGAAAAGCGGCTGCTTGCTGCCATCAGGAGGCCTACATACTTTGTTGAAATTAAGTAGGCTCACCCCTCACACATTAACACCTTCAGCATCCTAATTAAGAACATTTTAATGTGAAAGGAATAACCCTTTCCCTCACTCACATTTTGAACCACAAATCATTTAATTTGAAGCCTGGAATGAATTATTCAAATGGAAAATATTTATTAGCTCCGTTGATCCAACCTATAAATAAAATTTCTAGTTAAATTGAAAATCAGAGTAAAATAAACAAAAATTGTGTTAGATGGCCAACCTTTATCAGCCTATGGTTTTTAATAGGGGTTTTCTTACCTTTAATTTCTTGGGCAGAAAACAAGCTTGAAGTGAAAGCTGGGGCAGCCATCTTGGGGCGGAGCCGTTCACTGAGCCGTTCACTGAGCAGTTCACTGAGCCGTTCACTGAGCAGTTCACTGAGTCGTTCACTGTGTCGTTCACTGAGCCGTTCACTGAGTCGTTCACTGAGCCGTTCACTGAGCAGTTCACTGAGCAGTTCACTGAGCCGTTCACTGAGCCGTTCACTGAGCCGTTCACTGAGCCGTTCACTGAGCCGTTCACTGAGCCGTTCACTGAGCCGTTCACTGAGCCATCCACTGAGCTGTTCACTGGACCGTTCACTGAGCCGTTCACTGAGCCGTTCGCTGAGCCATTCACTGAGCGGTCCATTTAGCTGTTCACTGAGCCGTTCCCTGAGCCGTTCACTGAGTGATTCACTGAACCGTTCACTGAGCCGTTCACTGAGCCGTTCACTGAGCCGTTCACTGAGTTGTTCACTGAGCCGTTCACTGAGGCGTTCACTGAGTCGTTCACTGAGCCGTTCACTGAGCCGTCAACTGAGCCATCCACTGAGCGGTCCACTGAGCCGTATACTGAGCGGTTCACTGAGCCGTCTACTGATCGGTCCACTGAGCCGTCTACTGAGCGGTCCACTGAGCCGTTCACTGAGTCATTCAATGAGCCGTCCACTGAGCGGTCCATTGAGCCATCCACTGAGCCATCCACTGAACGGTCCACTGAGCCATTAACTGAGCCGTTGACTGAGCCTTTTACTGAGTCGTTCACTGAGCCGTTTACTGAGCCGTTCACTGAGTCGTTCACCGAGCCGTCCACTAAGCAGTTTACTAAGTCGTTCACTGAGTCTTTCACTGAGTCGTTCACTGAGCCGTTCACTGAGTCTTTCACTGAGTCGTTTACTGAGCCGTTCACTGAGTCGTTCACTGAGCCGTTCACTGAGCCGTTCACTGAGTCGTTCAGTGAGCCGTTTACTAAGTGATCCACTGAGCTGTTCGCTGAACCGCTCACTGAGCAGTCATCTGAGCCGTTCACTTAGCCATTCACTGAACAGTTCACTGAGTCGTTCACTGAGTCGTTCATTGAGTCGTTTACTGAGCCGTTCACTGAGCCGTTCACTGAGCCGGGTTCCGGATGCGCGGCGATCATATCGCGTTTGGATGGAGTGCAAAGAGCGAAGTTAACAATAAGATTGGCGGATAAACGGTGCTTGAGGACTGGGCGAGGGCATAGGGCTTTATTTGAGGGCTTATTTTATCAGTGAGATCTATCAGTGGGCTTATCTGTGGGCAATCGGCGCTAACAGGTTCCTAATTGTGGGAAAACCGAAAAGGAATTGAGTGAATTCCCATGGATAGGTAGTAGGGAAAAGTGTTCTCGGAGTATAATTTTGTAAAATTCACGTATTTCACATTGTATTTAAAAATTTCGATATCGTATATTTTGTTCGTTATTTACTGAAATATTTTAGATTTATTTGCAAGTCAACGAGAGTCGCAAGCAAAAATTTTCCTTAAATTTTTCCTGTCATTGCTGTATGCAATATTTCAGTGGAAACAACAACATATGTTGCTGTACACGATGTCTCAGTGGAAACAACAACATATGTTGCTGTACACAACATCTCAGTGGAAACAACAACATATCAGTGGAACAACATATCTTTACGCAATATCTCAATGGAAACAACAACATATGTTGCTGTACACAACATCTCAGTGGAAACAACAACATATCAGTGGAACAACATATCTTTACGCAATATCTCAGTGGAAACAACAACATATGTTGCAGTACACAACATCTCAGTGGAAACAACAACATATGTTGCTGTACACAACATCTCAGTGGAAACAACAACAGCAGTGGAAACAACAACAACAGTGGAAACAACAACATATGTTGCTGTACACAGCATCTCATTGGAAACAACAACATATGTAGCTGTACACAATGTCTAAGTGGAAACAACATATGTTGCTGCACGCAACATCTCAGTGGAAACCACATATGTTCCTGTACACAATGTCTCCGTGGAAACAACATATGTTGCTGTACGCAACATCTCAGTGGCAACAACATATGTTGCTGCACGCAACATCTCAGTGGAAACAACAACATATGTTGCTGTACGGTACCCTCGCCTCTTCCCATACGCCCTCCCCCACCTCTTCACTCACTCCTAACCCAACACCTACTTCCAGCTTTACCCTTGCCCTCAGCCCTTACAACAACATATGTTGCTGTACGCAATATTTCAGTGGAAACAACAACATATGTTGCTGTACGCAATATTTCAGTGGAAACAACAACATATGTTGCAGTACGCAACATTTCAGTGGAAACAACAACATAGCTCACCGGAACGCCGCGGGAACAAAAGACGGTGTAGCGGAAGAGTGCTACGTACGCGAAGGTTAAGCATGAACAAAAGCTTATGTTTGAACAAAAGCTTAAGTATGAACAAAAGCTTAAGTATGAACAAGCTTTGCCGCACTCATGCCAATCAACCACAAGTGTCACTTTGATGTCTCGTTCATTTAAAGCGACCAGCAGAACCATTCACTTGCGAGTGTCATTCATGCATTCATCCAATTCATTCATGCATTCATTCATTTCATTCATGCATTCATTCATTTCATTCATGCATTCATTCATTTCATTCATGCATTCATTCAATATTGGACTGGAATGCGTGCAATTTCTGCTGAATGTTGGAGACTTGATTAGACTGGCCATTTCCGCCCTCATGGAGACTTTGATGTTTACCGTGATAATTCAATACATTTTAATGAGGATCATTTATCATCTTTTAATCATGAACAGAATGATTAGAAAATAAATATGTAATCTTTGATTGAATTCGATGTAGAGTGATTGAGCTAAACGTTGAATTTATTGACTAATTAGCAATTAATGTTCCTTCTATTTAAACATTCCGTAAATGATTGTAGAGAAAATGAGATAAGGGCAAGAAAAATTATTTTGAAGGGCTCTCATTAATATCAAAATGATTTTCAAACAGAAATATTCAGCAGCAATAGATTAAAATTTCCAACATTTAAGACATCACTGATTAACATGGTTAAGAAAACGCAAACTTCAAAGGCTAATTAAAATCATTCTTATAATCAGGCGATTAATTATTCGAGTAGTGAAATAGACAGACAACACTATTAGTTTAATTAACTTTACCTACACAAACTAATCATTTCTGCAATTATTAATTGGACTGCAAATAAGTTTTTAATTATTATGTGCAAACTTGTTCAATGCCATTATTTTTTTAATGCTGATTTACATATTTTTAAAGAAGCCCTAATATATTAAATCCATTGTTGCCCTCTACACAGTCCTGCGGTCCTTTAGATCCCTGCTTACGTATAACTTTCCTTTAAAGCGGGGAAGTGCAGAAGGAAGTATAAAGTAAACTGAGGAAGGTAATCCTACACTTTCCTTTGTAAATTAAAACCAACATTGACGGGTCGCAGAATTTCCTAAAGAACGTCACTCCCTCGTAGGAGATTTCCGAAATCCTGCAAGACGAAGAAAGGACAACGAAATCCTGCAGATAAAAGACCGGCTGGATTAACTACGCAAATTGCGGTGCATTGACCAGTCTTTAAAAGCTGGCGGAAATCCATCCTGTGCACATGCAGAAAAATTATTGGGTAGTGTTGTCCCAATAGTGACCCACCTTTCTCATCCATTGCACGAGAAGAGAATTGACGTAGCTATGATACGCTCTTTTATATGGCAAACTGGGTCAAAATGACCGACACAAGCGTAAAAAGTGCGTAGATATTAGAAAATATGACACTAATTTTTTTCAGTGTAATGATGCACAGGTGGTGAGTCTATGGATCCTTTGTGTCCTAAAGGGGGGGGGGGAATTGAATCCTACAAAAAAGGCAGGATATTCTAATTAATTTTCCTGAAGTCTTTGAGATCCTGAACAATGGCGAGCGGAAACAGGATGAAGTGGAATGAATCTTGAATGTTGTTTGTTCTTTTGCGGTGAAGTGTGTAGGACGCCTGTGGTCTTCACACCGGTCATTTCAGCGGTCCATTTAATGCCGGATGTCAGATATCCTTATTAAAATCCACACGCGGATTAAAGGATTTGACGACGATATTCGTGTTGAAAATCTCACGTGGATTAACGGCAGCTACCCCCGCCTGTCTCAGGTTACATGGGATTCAACATTTTATCATCATGACAACATAATTAATGCGCAGCATAATAATACATATATAGACTCAAGATAATTGATTTCTTTTTCTCCAGTCTTCGATCATTTTTATTTACTTAAAATTTTAACATGGGTTTTAAGACGTTTAAAATCTCTGATTAGGTTTTAATGCCCAGAATATTTTCTTGCAGCAATACTCCGCTCTTATTTGCCATAAACCTGACGAATATATGATATTAGAAAATAATAAAATTTTTACCACAAGGAGCACAAGCGTATTTTCAAACAAGGGGCATAGCTGCACGATTAAATACGTGGCTTGAGAAAAAACTAATTGAGAAAAAAATATATTTTGACTTAGGAAATATTTCATCAGCTCTCAACGAGGGAGGTCTTTGTGGAGAAACTTTTCATCTTATCCTTATTTGTCAGGGCTTCATGTAAGTAAGTTTCCTCCAGCTCTCAATAAGTCGGGGCTCATGTAAGAATGTTTCCTCCAGCTCTCAATAAGTCGGGGCTCATGTAAGAATGTTTCCTCCAGCTTTCAATAAGTCAGGGCTTCATGTAAGAATGTTTCCTCCCGCTCTCAATAAGTCGGGGCTCATGTAAGAATGTTTCCTCCAGCTCTCATTAAGTCAGGGCTTCATGTAAGAATGTTTCCTCCAGCTCTCAATAAGTCGGGGCTCATGTAAGAATGTTTCCTCCAGCTCTCAATAAGTCGGAGTTCATGTAAGAATGTTCCCTCCAGCTCTCAATAAGTCAGGGCTTCATGTAAGTAAGTTTCCTCCAGCTCTCAATAAGTCGGAGCTCATGTAAGAATGTTCCCTCCAGCTCTCAATAAGCCAGGGTTTCATGTAAGTAAGTTTCCTTCAGCTCTCAATAAGTCGAGGTTCATGTAAGAATATTTCCTCCAGCTCTCAATAAGTCAAGTCTTCATGTAATCAAGTTTCATCCAGCTCTCAATAAGTCGGGGCTTCACGCAAAGATATTCTAGCGGATTTCTATACGTAGGTTAGGGCTTCATGTAAGAATGTTTCCTCCAGCTCTTAAAATATCGGGGTTTCTTTTAGGTAAGTTTACACTGGATCTCAATAAGCTAGATTTTAGTGCAGAAATGTTTCCCCCAGCTCTCAAGAAGTCAGGGCTTCTTATGTAGGCATGTTTACTGTAGCTTCCAATAAGCTAGAGCTTTATGCAGAAATGTTGCCTCCAGCTCTCAATAAGTCGGGGCTCATGTAAGAATGTTTCCTCCAGCTCTCAATAAACTAGGGCTCCATGTACATCCGTTTTGAGCACATTCAAAGGCCCCCTTTCGTCAGTAGGCTCTCAAAAAAGGTCGCTAAGCAAGGCTCAAGAGCTACAATATAGCTCATTGTTTCCGCTTAGAGAAGGTTGTAGGCCAGGCTATGGTGTAGGCTGACATTGTATGCAAATGTGTCAAGCTAAGCTGGTTAGTCCTGCCATGCTACCATCACATCTTAGAATTTGTTGCTGCCTCATTGAAGAATCTTATAGATACTCTTACAATTGATTGTATAGGTCAATGAGTACGTTCACATACCCATGCTCACGGAGAACGGGATTAGTACTTTACTACTCATGGACTCTACAATAACCTTATTTTGCCTACTTGCGCTCGCGTTCAAAAAGGTCACAGAGTTCGTTTAGACGATAAATGTTATTATTGAACTTTAAATCTCACTGAAATTATTCATTATTAGTAAAGTCAAAAATTGTCGGCAAAAGATTATCGCGCGGCAAAAGATTACCTATTCGAAAAATCTTCAAAATTTATCATTGAGGATTATGAAAACTTTGAGCTAAGAATGGAGTTAAAGTTGAGGAAACAGTTTTTGCGAATGAGGTTTTTGGAACAACTGGAGATAGAAACTTCCTTCAATTTCATGTACTTAAAATTTGTTTGAAGCCCACTTTTGAAAGCCTATGAATTTAAAAATGTTCCCAGCCAGTTTTCCCTAGCTATGCTTAGCACATTCCGGTCACCCGATGCCCTCATATACAAATTTTTGACTCTTCCCAACTCAGCAGGTATTCTTTATAGGCCTACACAAAGGCCTAGCATGGCTTTATATAGGCTGTAGCAACTAAATTCAAATTAGTGACATCACTGGAGGCAGAGGTGTAGTGGGGTAACCACGGTATACTTTCATCGCTATTACTTCACTTCACTTCCTAGCCTCACGAAAGTAGCCCTTCACAATTTTTGAACCCCAGGCCATAGGCCTCCAAAAGCGTGAGTGTTGAGAGCCAGGAAGTGGAAGGCTTTGCTTAGCGGACATAATGGACGATCTCAAGAGCGTTCTGTCCTTCAATTTGTCCTCGAGTCACTGCACCCTCATACTCCTTCGATCCTTCGCTCTGTCCTTTGCCCTTAGCCTTTGTCGCTCTGTCCTTTTCTCTATCCTCGCTTGAGATGGGGCCGGACAAAAGACATTGCATCCCATCCTGAAGAGTCCTATCTATGAGTCATTGTGTCCATTCCATCCTCTGGAACAATAACGCTCAGCGTGGAAAATGCATAAAAATTTAATCATTTTTGTTTTCGTTTTGTGAAGTCAGAACTTTTTGATGATATTTATTAAAGAAACGTCAACGTAGAAGATTAGGCCTTGTCTGATCGGCCGCTAATTCTAGATATCAGCTAGTGCTTGAATCAGCAACTTGCAGCTTCAATCTTAGGATCCTCATACACCTAGACACCAGATGATATATTCATTCATTTTTTCATCATTTATTCTTCACAGAAAATTTAGCTAAAACTCATTTCAGTGAATGGAAGAATATTCGTGAATAATTTTTAGAGCACGGCACATGTATATGAACTGAAACCTTATTTTGATTTATTTCAATTTAAATGGAAAAATAAACTGAATACGTTGAAGAAATCATTAATAAAATTATTGAAAGACGGCTATCATGAATAATTTATGGATCAAAAAAGATTATATATTCAATAAATTAAGTTATTAGTTAGGGAACAGTTTGTTAGTTTTTAATATTATGAACAGTTTCTTAGTTAGCAATTTAATTATTAATATTAATAAACAAATTGTTCCTTATATGCATGCAGCTTCACATGCAGCACAGCTGTACACCTGCATGTACAGCTGCCGACGCATGTATACATCAGATGTACAGCTGCATGCGGGTACCATTGAGCACATCTAACGTGTTCCAAGTACACAAACAGCTGTACATGCAAACAGCTGCAGCACACAGCTGCACCAGCCAGCAGCTGCACACAGCTGCACCAGCCAGCAGCTGCGTACAGCTGCACCAGCCAACAGCTCCATACAGCTGCACTAGCCAGCAGCTGCGTACAGCTGCACTAGCCAGCAGCTGCGTACAGCTGCACTAGCCAGCAGCTGCGTACAGCTGCACTAGCCAGCAGCTGCGTACAGCTGCACCAGCCAGCAGCTGCACACAGCTGCACCAGCCAGCAGCTGCACACAGCTGCACAGCGGCCAGGAATTCAGGAGCGACTGAAAAAATCTGAGCTTCGTCCATGGCAGAAAAAAATTCAGAGGCTTCGAATTCGCGCGCCTCGGCACGAAGGCATGAAAAATGAAATTGAAAAACTGTCGGATAAAATTAGAGGCATCCAGACCGGACAGTTGTTATTAAAGGTTTATATGTATACAAGTTATACAAGGTTATTAATCTAGCACTTGATAAATGCAACGTTATTTATTGAATTTATTTTTAGCATACCAAAAGCAAAATACCTGACAAATTAGAGGCTCCAGATTGGACAGTTGTTATTATAGGGTAAAATTAGAGGCATCCAGACTGGACAGTTGTTATTATAGGATATGTATACAAGTTATACAAGGTTATTAATCTAGCACTTGATAAATGCAACGTTATTTATTGAATTTATTTTTAGCATACCAAAGTTATTATAGGGTAAAATTAGAGGCATCCAGACTGGACAGTTGTTATTATAGGTTAAAATTAGAGGCATCCAGACTGGACAGTTGTTATTATAGGTAAAAATTAGAAGCATTCAGATTCGACAATTTTTATTATAGGTTAAGATTACAGGTATCTACTTTTGAAAAATATTATTAAAGATTAAGATTAGAAATTGTTTTAAAAACTCTCATTTAATAAACGCAGTTTATAATAAACTGTAGCGCCAACGTGTAGTTTCATAGCAATGGTTTATAATAAACTGCGCTGCGCTTCCAAATGAAAGTTTTTAACATTTCATATATGAAGTATCAATAGCTTTTTATTTTCTTGGTGCTTGCCATACATCATTGTACGTCCAGTATATATTAAAAAATCTTGCTAATCATGTCAATACACTTGATAGTGTCCAATATATCAAATGAATCTTGGAGAGTTTCATGTTAGCCACTCACAAAACACTTGAAGTGATTGGCTATATATCATGCTTCTCATTGTGAAAAATTATTTAAATCCTAATAAGTTTTCTGCAAACTGCGTTTTTTGAATACTTAAAACTTTTTTTGCCGAAAAATAATGTTGTT